CCCCTCCCCCCTTCCATCCAAAGGCCCCCCCCCCCCGCCACTCATCGCTGTTATGGAGGTCACCAGCTGGCATGTGCCCGGGCAGACAAGTGGGCCTCTTCTGACTATTAGGGCTCACGTGCGACACATATAATCCGTGACAGCGGCGCGCATATTCCCCCCCAGGTTTAATCTGCCCAGATGCCAGACAGCGCGGGAGGCTCGGCGATGCTCCTATGCATTAAGCAGCCCAGATGGTAAAATAGACTACAAATCATTTTCTGTTTTCTGTACTTGTCAGAGATTTTACCCGGACAAGTTTAAACAAAGGACTCGACTCAGGGAAGATTGTCTTTGCAGTCGACGGAAGCACGATTCCCCAGGGCAGCCAACGGCGATTGCTGTGCAAATCGCACTCCCAAGTTCCCGTGCTTCCTGTCGAACTTTTATTGATTACATATGCAAATTACAAGAAAAACACTGCCCCCTATATTTGCATACCACGCCTCCAGTCCGGCCCCTTTGGCCGGAGATTTGATTAACTTTTGTCACTTCGTTCGTAAACTGTTTACTCCCACTTCTCAAGCCGAGTCTTGCATCCTTCCATCTGTTCGCATCCAGCTCAACAGCTCTTCACACTTTTTGCGGTGAGGCAACTCCACGTGGACTTCAAAGAGCCCTCCGCCCGAGACGGCCCGACACCCCGAAATTAAATAAAACTTTAAACATGATGTCATTGCGTTAGTTGATTTCTCTATCAATACTGGACAAAATTGAACAACTAGCCGTATTCAGTATATCCTGCGCCTAGCTTAAGATTCTTCTTATTCCACTTTGGACATGCTCAATTCATAGGTTTTTTTGCTTTGCTTTTATTTCTTTCAGTATCGTTTGACAGCTGCACGTTGATTTGTTGGTTTCCGATCGTCACCTGTTCCCTATTCAAAATGCATCAAGCTGTCATTCAAGCACTGACCTGCTTCTGCAGCCTGTCGTTCTCCTCCTGCTCAGCTCTGGCCCGCTCCTTGGCCTCCTTCTCCTCTTCGGCTCGCTGGACTTCATCCCTCAGACGCTGCTGCTCGGCCATGAAACGAGCCTCCTCCTCTCTGCGCTTCCGCTCTTCTGCATCCCGCGCCATCGCCTCCTCCCGGAGGATCCTGGAAGGACGCGGGCATGTGACGCGCGGCGTTCACGTACGCGGTGGTGGTGGGAAGTAACAGCGGGGGAAAAAAAAATACATTGTCATTGAACACAATCAAATTTTTTTTTTTTAGGAATCTGTAAATTTGAATTTTCTCCTCATTTTTTTCCATTTTACTCTCTGAATTGGAAAACAGATATTTGTATAAATATAGAGCACATAGTAGATGACTCAAACCGACCTGTTCCTGTGCTCTTGCTCTTGACGCTCCTGCTCCTCTCGTTCCCGCTGCTCCCGCGCTTGTCTGCGTTTTTCGGCCAGGACGCGGGCGGCCTCCTCGGGGTCGTTGGTGCCAGCTGACGGCCTGCTGGCCGCCGCCACCGCGGGGGTAGCGGGATTATTTGCGGGGGAGGCAGCTGGTGTGGTCAGCTCTTCTTTAGGCACGGCACCGGAGGAGGCTTCAACAAGTGGCGGGCTGGGGGAGGGAGATGCGGCTGGGGCAGAAGCCGACACATTACCGGAGTCTGCAAGAGAGGAAACAAACATACGATGAAGGACTCAAGCGATGCAACAGTGCCGGCGGGCTGAAAAAGCAACATGCGCCAAATAATTCGGTACATATGCGCATCGTAATAAACACAGGAACCTCCAGCACATAACAAAGCTCCGTTTTGATTGACGCGGGGTCACAAAGCTCGGAGTTGAACAATACATATCACCTTGCAATCGGACCTAATTTTGCTCTTGTAACCTGTCAGGACCTTGCATATTTGTGTTCTATGATCACTCATTATCTCCAATATATTTGTGTTTCAAAACTAAAATGGCCACAAAAAAACCCCCCTCAAAATGTTCACATAACAGTGCTGTATCCAGACATGTGTACCATGAAAGGCAGCCAAAACGTGAAGTCACCTCGAAGGATGGATATCATCACCGTGGTTAGCAGACTCACCCTTTTTCTCCTCGGGAGTGTCAGACTCCTTGGATTCTTGGCCGGTTTCCACGGCGACCGCGGTCACCGTCTGGGGCTGCACCCTGGCGGGTGTCTGAGCCCGTTTGGGTCGGGTCTTGGTAGCGGGAGGGGGTGTCTTCTTCCCCGCGGGCGTCTTGGAACCCGCCGCCGGTACCAAAGGCGACAAGGGCCGACTTTTGGGAGGAGCGGGCGATGGAGGTCTTGTTCTCGGCTTGGGGGTGCTGAGACGGGACACAAGCGTGCAAAGGAAAGAGTGAGCTCAAAAGGAAACGGGACCGTCGCGGCGTCGGGACAAGTACTTGTATATAGAACAAAACTGGGTCAAGGGGAAGCGCGTGTGAGCGAGACTCCGCTTTGTGTTGACACCAGACTCTGACTCGAGGGAGGTGAAAGACGAACGCGTCAGTTGATAAAACCCAGTTCTGCCCGAGAACTCCTCGCTCTCATTCCAACAGACGTGCGCCAGAGCCGCGTCCAGCAGAACTTCTCTCAGTACTCAGATGAGAGCATCTCGAGAACCATCTGCTCCAAACTACTCGGCTCCGAGAATATATAACTTTCCTCGATGATGGATTGACGGTTTCATGACTCTAAAAGGGGAACGTTTTTTTTTCTTTTTTTTCCTGCTGTCATGGGATACTTTGGTGTCTGTAGGCAATACCTGGACTCTGTCTGGGATCTCCTTGTGAGTGTGGTGGGCGATGGAGTCTGTCTCTTCTTCTGTACTCTCTCTTTTGTCAGTGCGCTCTTCTCTTTCTCATTCTCTCTCTCCTTGTCTTTCTTCTCCTTCTTCTTTTGGTCAACCTTGATAAGGACGACGACAACAACAACAACAACAAAGGGAGGATTCAGCACACGCCTTGATGTGAGCATCCATTGGTTACCTCGGAAAACAGATGCTGCCGCAGATTCTATTCAGAACCGCTTTGAAATAAGTTTCAGCCACTGTTATTCATATCATGTTCCTATTCGCATTCAAGCTTGCATCTTTTTACACTCAAAAGCACTCCTCCCTGAGTTCATTTGGCGGTTCGTGAGAAGACGCGGCGAGCAGCCAAATGTATTTTTACCAGGCCGCAGTGAAAAGTCATCAATATTCAACGGGATAGTCGCACGAATTTGAACCACGTAGCGCTTAAATCAGAAATATTAATGAACCGAGCAGCGGTCATTTTAGGATCCGGGATGGAGACTTTTGCCGGAGGGATGTTAGTTTTGCTGAGCGGTCAACAAATACTCCTGAACTCAACTAACAATGTCGGGCACGGTCCAGTCTATTGACTGGACACGTTATCACACGGCCTACCGGTGTGGATATCCGTTGGCGTTGGCGCTGGGTGATGTCGGGCGTGCTGGCAGAGGAGTACCTCCAGCGCTCGGCGGAGTTCCGGTGCTGGTGGTGGGAGTAGGCGTTGAGCGGACTGGCCGAAGCTGAACGGGAGCAGTGATGAGAGTCTGAGTAGTGCGGCAGACATGCAGAGACAAGGGCGGGGTGGGGAGGTCACACACAAATATACACACCATGCAGGCTGATCCTAAACATTCAGGGTCACACAGTCCATGACAGCAACTGCCCAAACAAATCGAGAATTGAGACTTCAATGTCCCTCTATGGCAGGGGTGTCAAACTCATTTCACATTGTGGGCCACATACGGCCTCGGTCAATGTCAAGTGGGCCAGACCATTAAAATTGACCATACTCTGCTATTAAGAACCAAAGTAACATGTCTTTCCTTTGTTTTGGTCTACAGAAGCACAAGAATATTTGGAAAATGTTGACATTTAATGAACATATGTTTTACAAAACATTACATGAAGCACCTTAGATTTGCTTAGACAAATGTGTAATTTACTTTTATCATTCACACATATGCATTGCAACTGATCCCACTAATTGTACTAAGGCACAAAACCTGAACAAGTAATTGGTACTGAAAAATATAGTCATGCATTTTAAGACTAAACAAGATTTCTAAAGAAAGCAATGTTTAAACCATTTACACATGTGCATATAAAATCTAAATTTAATCCCTGCCTACACCTTACAAACTAAGGAGATTGCTATTAAATGTGTAAAGAATAAAGTATTCGCATGTCCTTGACAGCGTCTGCTGTGTTGGGTCTGTCTCAGTGACAGACTGAGACGGCTGTTGTCTTCTTCTCTGATCAAAACAATGTTGTCTTCTACTCTAATCAAAACAGTGTGTTCCCTAGCGGATATTCCATGAATTGCACCTTATTAAAAATATTCATTCCATGTCTATGCATTTTTTCACTTTTAAATGATCCTGCGGGCCTGATTGAACCTCCTGGGGGGCCGGTTTCAGCCCGCGGGCCGTATGTTTGACACCCCTGCTCTATGGTGACATTCACTGATTTGTGTGATGCTTTTCGTTAGCATGTTCTCCTTCATAGCTTTCTTTCTCGTTGTTAGAATCACACAGAAAATCTCCTGCAGGAATTAACATCGGCAAACAAAAGATACATGCAAACACAAAATACATTGAGGAAAAAAAAAACCTCACTTATGTGAAACTGATGTTTGTGTTTCAATGTTCGTGCAGAAAAAAATAAAATAAAAATACACGCCGGCGATGGGTTGCGACACTCACAAGAGTCACTGTTGTTGAGGAGGGTGGCGGCGCTGCGACTGCGAGCCAGGAAGGAAAGCGTCGGCGTCATGAGCCGCTCCACGATCCTGCTCTCCCACGGGCTCAGGCGCAGGCTGCGGGCTGACACAAGAGGGTGCCGTCAGTAACGGGTCATTGTCAAATCCTCGGCCTGTTACCGACACGTCTCTTGCTCTTAGCATTTGTCCTTATTTTGCCGCTTCTGTATTCTTAACATGAGTGTGAAAGTGTCAATGTTGCAGCGGTGACATTTGAACCCCTTCATGCGCCGGTCCTGATCACCTGTCACCTGATAACATGCGTGGCTGTCCACTGTAGTGACCGCCCGTCCCTGAAAGGGTTAAATTTCCCTACCGGCATGTGTAAAGTGTCTGCACTGGACATCTATCCAACGCATCGCACACGAGTCAGAGCATCTGCTTGTTGGACAACACTTAAGCGCAACACAGTCCGCTGTTTCGGTGACGCGTTGTGACTCAGCACCTCCTGGAACGCTGCTCAGCATTAAGTGTGTCCACGCCTACTGAGTACCATGTGATTGACATTCATCACAGTGTCATACATAGAGAAATAATGTCAGGGAGGAAAAACAAACAATCATGCATCATCACCAATTTCAAGCACGGAAAGCAAATTTTCCTGTCAGAGAATCACGATGCTTTCACAAATTTCATAAACTGTCTGACGATGATGCGTGGAAACCGTGGACCGCTACTCAATTACGCAACAAATTTTGAAACAGGAATTTGAAGACTTTAATAGTTTGCAGAATATCTCTCTTCTGCAATTAATTTTTTTTTTTTTTCCAGATGCAAGTAAATAATTAAACATGCATACAGTATTGGGCTGAATTTCTCTCTTTTTAACGCCGAGTTGACATCGACAAATGCATGCACAGCCCATACGCTGTAGTGTACGTGCTCGGAGAGCGCAATCACGTTTGGCAGCTCACGAGGCAAAGGTAAAATGACTTTTGGGATCATAAAGTATCATGTTTATATAAGAGCGCAGGCTGTCACCTTCGCTGTGTTGTTTTTTTTGGACAAACCGATAAATTGACTACCTCCTGTTGCTAAGCAACCGCGGCTGCACTGCCACCTCCTCTCCTTTTCCTCCGATGCGGCAAGAAGGAGGCGGCTGTGTTGCTGCCGATTGACTACTCTGTGTGGGTAGCGTCTGTGTGTAAATGTCAGCGCATTCTCTCGACCAAAGACCCTGGGCTCTGCAACTTTGCGGAGACGCAATATGTTTCGGTTGCCAGCCGCCCTCTTTTTGTGTGCACGGTATTAGAACGATGTCGACGTGACGATGGAGCGTCAAATCGGAATCTCCATCGCGCCGGTGTGTAAATTGCTAATTACGTACGCACGAGATATACGGTCCGTAGTGGCACGTGCGGCTTGGCGTCATGTAAAACGGCTGCGACGTGAAATATAAACAACTGTCGTCTGAAACTGTGGCTCTTGGAAAGAAAAAAAAAAACAACAACAACAAATGCATCTCAGCATCCACGATACCGAAAACGCGGCCTCACAGAGGCGCCATTCCGTTTATTTATTGCAACGATAAGCCACTTGAGGACATTAGTAGGGTTCAATCTCTTTCGACAATCCCGAACGATGTAAGGCAAAGTTCTGTTGAGTAATACAAGAAAGCTGAGGTGACGTCGTGACACAATTCGAGACGTTACCAATGACATCATGAACAGAAAAGTACATTCGTGTGCTTTCTGTTCCTGAGATGCGCTCATGAGAAGACCGTTTCAAATCCGCCACCACCACCACCACCACCAGGAAGCCGAGGGCAGACACCACATGAAAATGCCATGAAGAGACGTAGAAGACGATGAAAACACACTCCCGCCAAGCATGGTGCTATGACTTCCACGGTGAGAGGACGTTGATCCAAAATGCACAGACAACCAAACCAAAATGAAGTCAATTCCAGGAAAAAAAAAAAAAAAACACGATGCATACGAGACCGTGAGAGTGTTGGGGGGGAGGTGTGTGGCGAATGACCGGTCACCAAGCACAGGCAGGCAGGCAAGTCACCAGACACGATCATAATAACAATAATCAAACAAAAAAAAAATTAGGGTACGAGGGGGGGGGGGGGGGGAGCGGGATGAGGAGGGTGGGAAGCCTGGTGGACATTGACGTTGGCTCGTCCTTACTTCTGTTGGGGGAGTTCCAGAGCGTGGCAGAGGACTTGGACAGCCTGTTGTTAATGACAGGGTCCACCTGTCTTGGCAAGTTGACCGTGGAGGCCGAGCATCTGCCTGCACCGGAGAAAACGCAACACACAACATCGGTTCACACGAGCACCGGGGAGTGCGGGGGTGGGTGGGCTGCCCGCTGCCTTACGCGGGCGGGATCATCCCCTTTGTAGAAAGGGTAGCGACGCACCGCTCCCAGGAGTAAGATTGGCAATTCGTCCGCCACAAGGAGGATCAATCTGAATGCCCACTTGGTGGAGGAGGGGGGGTGGGGGGGGGGAGATTTTGAGGAGAAGTAGGGGGAAGGTTGAGGTTGTTAGGAATCAAATATTTGGTTTGGAGCCGCAAAACAGAAAAAGGAGTTGTCTCATGTTTGCGCCTGTACGCGGCCCCCGGGCAGAGTTCAGCCCAGAACGGCTAAATGACATCACAACTAGTCACACATCAAAAAAAAAAAAAAAAAAAAAAGACGACGACAACACCTCTGCCCCTCTGGCAGCTTTAAAACGGAGAAAGGAGGCGGTGAAAGCCGTATCGAAGGACAATTCTCAGCAGTGACATCACGTGTGTGTCGGGACCTCCGGTTCTCCGCCCTCGCAAGCGCCTTCTGAAGACAATTTCTTCGAATTGCGTCAGCTGGATGACCGGCTTCGGACGAAGGGTGTGTGTGCAACGCTTTCTTCAATTTTAGTTTTGTCACCAAAAACTCACTTTCCCTGCGAGAAGTCTGGTTGAGTCCGCCCGCCCAAGACCATCTCTGCTGGCGGATCTCGGCCCACGTCTTTTTCGTCGACCTCTTGATGGCTGACTCGTATCGCTCCTGCGCCACAAAGACCCGCCAAAGCTATCAAGCTCTAATCTCTCTTTTTTTTTTTTTTTTTTGCCGAGAGTTCCAAACAAAGAATGCTTTCAGACTAGCTTTCTTTGGTCCATTTTAATGGGGGGGGGGTCCCACAATGGATTTGGACCAGAGGAAGCAAATTCTAGGCGTGAAATCACCCGAAATGTATCTGTACCTTGTTCTTCTCTAGTTTCTGCCGCTGTTTCTCCTCCAGAAGGGCTCTGCGCTTTTCAGCCTTCAGTCGCTGTTCCTCAAGCTTCTTCCTGCGGTCCTCCAGCTGACTCTCTCTCAGACGCCGGGCCTTCTCCTCCTTCTCCAGCCACTGAGCTTTCTTTGCCGCTGAAGAGGTGACCACACGCACGTGTCGCAAACGTTTCAGAGTCAAGAGGTTTGTTCTTTCACGCCGAAATCCTTTGCGACGCAGTAAATATCGACGTTTCCCGCGGCGCTTCGGAGACTGCTGAAGCAGATGCTGGTCTTGACATAACCGCGGCTCATTTCTTCGGGGGAGCAATTAAACGGCAATCAGCCCTTTTCAAATTAAACTTCTGTCATGCTGGATAGCAGCTGCGTCTTTGCTTTTTGAACCCGCAGCCACGTTTCTAACAACCGTATTGTGGTGAGGGTGCAGAACCCTGAACTCATCGGCATTTTCTTGAGGTGCTTTTTTTTTTTTAAACAGTATTACAAATACTTTATGGACTTAGTCCTGAGGAATTTAGCAGCGTCACGCCAAGAAATGAGAGGATTTTTCTCCCATTCAGTGTTCAACAGCTCTTCTCTGCAAAGAAGCGGCAATGACAAACTCTTCTCGTAATCCAATTGCTGGGGAGCGGAAAAAAAAAAAATCTCATTATGACTGCAGGATTACTGCAGAATTGCGGAAAATACGGCGAGTTAAAGCTTGTGTTTGTGCTTATAGGCTTCAGGGTAAATCACCGCTCCCCAGCAGACACTCCCTTCATTCGGAGTGTTCGTCATGGGCCCCAAAATCTGCCGAAGGTGTCGAAATCGGAACGCATCACTAAAATCGAGATCGGAAGATTTCGGAGAGAGGTCAGCGTGTCGGATTGATTTGCAGCAAGCCTTGCTGAGACATTAGGCGAACGCATCTTCACGGCCTATTTAACACCGAAAGGTGGACATGCAAAACAGACTGCAGCAAATTAGGAGTCACTGCAGCAGAATCAACCTGGCGGTCAACAAAGACGAATCCGACGGTGGCGTGACAGCAGCGTGACCACACCGGCAATGCTAATGAATGTGCTAATTAAACGTAAGCGGTCCGCAAGGCCCGGCTTTCGGCTCACGTGTATGATGGCTCATCTTTTACGCCCGGGGCGCCGTTAGTATCTCCCTCTTCTGGGAACATGACGGGCATAATTGACCCACATCTTTGTTATCTGAGGTAAAGTCCCGCTTGAAAAGGAAAAAAGTCCTTCCCTAAAACTGTCCCCACCCGCAAAATGGAAGCACAGTTTAATCCAAATCTCTGGATGGAATAATGAATCGATGAAGTGGTGTATCCTAATAATGCTTGCCCACGTCATTTATTGTCATTGTCCAGCTAAATGATGGTGTTAAAATTGGAAACATGCATTAGAGGTAGGAATGAAACCCCTAAAATTAAAGGGAAAAACAAGGTCACGCTGATTAAAGATTAAAAAAAAAAAATGAATCACAGTGTTATGCACCAGAAAGTGAATCACGCCCCCAAAATAATTTCAAGTTCTTTTTGGAATGATACAATCGCAGGTACGTTGACGGGCTTTAGTGAAGCGCCTTACCTTGCAACTGTGTTTGTTGTTCTGAAAGCCATGCAAGGAGACAACAATAAGAAATGTCAATAACCATCAGCAAAGAGCCAGAGGAGGGACGGACGGACAGACGGGGATAAGAGGTTAGTATAAAGTCGCTCGGGCAGAATATAAGACATGCATCGACTTGGTTAAGTGCACAAACCAGTTCCCCGGTAACGTCATGGATCGAGCTTATTACTCACCGATATATCGGGCTCTTTCCTCCCTCCTTTGCTTGGCGAGCTTCTGCCGCTGCTCCGAGTTCATGGCATCTGCGGAAGAGCCAAACGGCAGTTTCCAGTCAGCACCGGGTGCGCCACAAATGATTGGCGTTACATTTTAGAAGAGCACATTGAATTTTTAAACATCATTTCGCAATTGACAAGCAGCGCATCGACTTTTCGGCTGCTTCGACGGATCGATTTGAAACGCAAACTATCTGCCCACTTTTGAATTTTGTTGAGGAAAATAATTTTTTTTTCACGCCACATGTTCTAATCATTCGTCAAGGTTGAAGCGATCGTGTCAATGAAAGGTCACGATGCTCAGCTCTGAATGGATTGCGTGCAACACTTTCAGCGCAGTCACCATGGCAACCAGATTTCCCTCCCTCCCACCATGGGTCTGTTATATGGATGTAAAGTATACGCCAGTCTCGCAGAGATGCTATTTAATGTGCCCCGGCCTTCCCCCAACATGCCACGACACAAGTCGACGCGGCGCAAATGATTTCATTTGGCTTTTGTGCACAGCCATCTGTCAGGTGGGAATGAATTGATTGACACCAAAGTACAAAATTATGTAATCGTCTCACACGTATTGATTGCATTGTGTGCATTATGGTGCTTTTTTTTTTTTTTTTAATGCCCTCATCAAAAAGTGACAAAGACTGCTTTCCACCCATTTGAAGGTGATTCTAATAGATCATTTTAAGATTGTGCTGTAGTGCAGTGCAGGATGATGGTCCCAACAGAGGAAAATGCTTATTCATCATTTGATGCTGAAAGATATGAAACAGGACAGAAAAAAAGACAATTCACGAGGGAAGGCCTTGTTCTCCCTCTTTGTTTTTTTTTTAAACAGTGTATGAGCAATTCCGAATTTTCAAGTGTAGCACCGCTTGGTGAGGTCTTCAAAGGCTGTCCTTAAAACGCAGATCCAAATCCACAATTTCGATTCATTCAACTGACCTAAATCCAATAAGGACGTTGACCGCACACGAGAAACAACATGCCTGCGCCTACGTGCAAACGAGCAGTTCATAGCTCACCTTTCTTGGGCTGGGGGCTCCCGCCGGTGCCGGGGGCTGACCGGTCCGTCTTGCAGGAAGCATCCGTCATCTCTGTGGGGGTTTCTGCTTTGGTGCAGGACTCAGTCTTGGGAGAAAGGTCTGTGATGGCTGAATCGTCCGGCGTCAGAAATACGCTCCCCGCACACTTGTCTCCATTGGGGGTGGGCTGAGAGTCACCTTGCAAGGGCAGAGCTGCGGAGAGGGGAAAATGAACTCAATTTTTGAGGGATGACAACATGCAACTAGCTCAGTGTCAAATCTAATTATGTTAGCTTGTACACTTTCCTCCTTCATTGCTGACACACTTTCAGTGTCAAACCCGAGGAGCTCACAACAGCTTCATTATCGCCAACACTCCAACCTCATTAGAAATCATTAACTAACACTTTCGCACGTCATTCACACGCACGTCAGCACATCGGCGGCAAGACTGCTCTGCCCCTCCCTTTCCTTTTTCAGCCCGGCAGAAAATAACCCCCGTCAGCATTGTTTTAACAAGCCGGCCGGCGTAAAACAAACAACCCAAGTTCATGACATTCACCGAGACTGAAACAACGGAGCGGCTCAAATTCAAATGGAATTTTTATGTTAAAAAAAAAAAAAAAAAAGACAAGTGAACGTTCCCTCAAAATAAATTGTACAAAACCCTAAAAAAAAAAAAGAGTGAAAAAAATGAAGATGATGGCATTGCATATTTTAGCCTCTTTGCAAATTAGGGGTCAGCATTGTCTGGCACTACGCCCAAAAACTTGTCATCTACAAATGAAGCTAATGTACATTTACCGCCATCATTCTGTTTGAACATCTGTTCTGACTTTTGGTTTCATTGAGGCTTTAGAGACCCGCCGATGACCTCACTGTGTGGCCCCGCCCGTGGTTGTCTTTCTCGAGGATACGAGTGACAAACTGCGCAGTGTATCACTGTGACAGGAAATAGAAGTGGAAGGCGATCGAGCCACTGAGGCATGAGAACATTGCAGTAGATATTTGCTGAGAAAGAAAGACGGGTTGGGGGCGGGAGGGCATTGAAAGTGGAAAACAAAGAAAGCAGTGGCCACTTTTACATGAGCAGACTGTTGGATAAAAAAAAAAAAAAAACGATGAGAGAGAAGTTAGAGATGGAGGCTGAAGGCCAACTCGCCTCTCAGTTTGCCAACAATGTGCAGATGGAGAGTGACGCTCTCGTTGGGCCCGACCAAACACTCACCCAACCGCATAAATTACAGATTAACACTGGGCTACTTTCCAAGGCACCCCACTGTACGGCACTAATGAGGAATCGTGGGATGGAAAGTTGGATGCTATTTGTTACAACTGGACAGGAACAAGAAGGGGAAAAAAAAGCTACTCGTGGCAACAACTTGTTTGGACAACTTTGTTCTTAGAAAGATTCGTAGGGGGGAAAAAAAAAAATTCTGAGCGTGATGTGTTTCTGCGATTGTCTGGCACACCACTCAAGGGTTGCCCAAAGTCATGCGGGATGAACTCAATGGAACCCACAACCCTAATGAAGACAAGCATTATAAAAAAAAATAAAAAATAAATGAATGGAAGGACAGACGCATGGATAATCTGTGGGGAATTGCAGCTACGCTAAAGTCATCTATGTGAACCACTACACGGCCAATGTTTACGGTAATCAACAAGTTTCGATAAAACCATCCTGGATTCCCTGAGAGGATCTTCCTGTTTTTTTTTTTCTTCCTTCGACCATGCCATGGTGTCAAAGTGGAACTCTGTGTCATTTTTTTTAAGTTCTGCTGGAAACATTGCAATGCCATAAAGAACAGCAGGCGTCCGTGTGATAAGACACATTCAAGTAAGAGAACAAAGGCTGACTGTGGGGCGAGAAGCTGACTGTGGGGCGAGAAGACCGTCCATCACATGACAGGGCGAGGCTGCAACAGACTTGGCCGGTTGCGAGCAGCGCGGCACGGGCGTGTTTTTTGTTGTCTGTAAGCACTGCAGGAGCGATACGCCCATTGTTGAACAAATAAGACATTGTTCTCTTTCAAAAGACTTCATTCGTCGCCGTGGGAGCTAACGTTCACCAAACGTAAGAACGTGAGAACAAATTATTCATTTCACCTAAAAAAGTACAATTGCTGACATCACGACCGTCCGGCAAATACATTCATCTGAGATTTTTAGTATTTGCAATTAAGTATCATGTATGTAAAAAAAAAAAAAAAAGAAAAATGTATAAAAACATATTTTGGGTTAGCCTAATAGCATGCTAACGTTTACCAAACGTTACAAGGTGAGAACAAATGATTTATTTCAGCTAAAAAAGTACAATTGCTAACATCATGACCGTCCGACAAATACATTCACCTGAGGTTTATAGTATTTGCAATTAAGTATTGTGTATGTAAAAAAAAAAAAAAAAAAAAAATTATAAAAACACACTTTGGGTGAGCCAAATAGAATGCTAACGTTTACCAAACGTTACAACGTGAGAACAAATTATTTATTTCACCTAAAAAAGTACAATTGCTGACATCACGACCAATAGCATGTTCTAACTTACTGTCGTACCTTCAACAAAACCTAATGAAATTTGGGTTGTGTCTTTACGTCCGTGTGGATTCTCAGTCACCCGGGCAACACAACGGGCGTAAAAGGACAGAGCATGACAAGAACGCCAACAAGCCCTCGTGACAGGATCACAACTTCAACTCCCCCACCTCCTCCCCCCGCCGCCTCCTCACCCTCACTGCTATCTCCGGTTTCTGTGCCACTGTGACAGACTTGGCGGTTTATAAATAGCGACGGGCACCATACTGAGAATGTCGGCCTTAAAAGGGGCGGGCGTCTGCCGAGGCACCTTTGGAGACGCTACGACAAGTTGTCCAAAAGGCACAACTCCACGGAGGAGGCCAAGTGCAACACGGTCGCAACGGGGGCAGGAGACATTTCCTGCAAGTTTGTTTGAGCCTGGCCTGTAGAATACGGCGGGCGACTGCAAGTGCCAGATTAAAACAGAGCATGGAAATAAGGGCTGGGTATCCGCATTCAACTGAAGCCACAGATGACGAGAATCAAAGCCAGGCCAGACTGCTCGTGTTACTGGAAGACTGGCACTCTCATTCTTTCCCGGAGTTCTTTTTTTGAAAATACTCGACGAGACAGACGGTTTATCAGTCATATTTTGAGGGGACTTCTATTTTAATAAAAGAGAAGCAAACGGGATTTATAATTCCTTGCAAACTAAAAGACATTTAATCAGCGCAGTGAACCAGTGAAATCCTCAACCCAAAGAGTCAAACCAAAAAAAAAAAAAAAAAAAAACAGACTGCAGACTGCAGGTCAGCTTTTATCGGGTCTCCAATCGAGTAAAAATATGAACTTGATTGATTCTAAATCTGGCGTAACGGTTCACTCCCCTGACTTAAGTTCCGTTTCCGACTCCAGGACGGTGTCAATGCGAGTGCGAGGGAGAGATTTTCCGTACCCTGTGATTGACAGGCAACCAGACCAAGGCGCAGTCTCGTTTTTCTCCCCCAAGTCAGCTGGGATCGGAGACCGCCCCCTCAAATGAATGGAATTGTTCTTTCTCGGTTGACGTGTCCTTGAAACGATGAGTGTGTTCGACCAATTTTCATTCACAAAAACGAATGGTCCATTGAATGAACAGGTGGGGTACTGAACAAGCCCCGCCCCCATCCCTCCTTTGTACTGTGTAAAGCAGACTCCATGTAGATAGGAGTTATGGGCATGAGCGTGTCGTTGTTATGAGTGGAGTGTGTTGTTAGATCTGGGTCAGGCCAGCTCAGGAATCTCAGGCATCCACAACTCTACTTCCACACTTATACAGGGGTGGAGGGGGGGGGCTATGTCTGGTGGATGAAAATCAGGACTTCCATATATTTAGTGTCATATGCGGTACATTTCGACTTAACTGGATGTGTGTGAGCGCGGCGCAAAGTTTGTGTGCTCCGACAGCACTTCCTGCGTGCGTTCAAAACACGGAAATGCTCACGAGCGACAAGTGACCGCGCCCGGAGGGAAGAAAAAGAGGAAGAACATTCCTGAGTTGTTGAGAGGAACAACAATGAGGACACGGGGCAGCTGAGCGTGTGACATTCCCTGCATAGTAGGCCTTCGATCAATGAGTACGTTTTTCCCGATAACGCCGCTCTTGACGAAGAACGCAAAGTCGAACGAAATCGACCATCGGTGAGTTTTGAGATGAAGCGCGCGCGCCCTGCGGGAAAACAAACAAATAAAATGACGGCACCGTTTTGGAGGCCACAATCGGAGATGCCACGTTGAACCTTTTAAACCCGTCGATCGTCTGGTGGCCACGCGAGCGTTTACCGGACCAACAGCTGTGTTTGGAAAAGGCAGCGCATGTGAGAGTCAAAAACAAACCCCTGCGAAGAGGAAGAGGAAGACAGGATGTGACTCCTTTGAGAGGAGGGGTCTCCAGATGCTTTTAAACAAAGACGTGGGCTACTCAGTCGCAGAGCTGGAACTCATGCACAGCAGTCATTATTGATGACTCATTCATTATTCAGATTTTCCTGGTTGACTCTTCTCCACTTGCAATTACGGACAGGGTAGATACTAAAAGAAGGCCAGAAGTGGTGCCAGAAGATCAACAAGAAGCTTTTTTTTTTTTTTCTTTGTTTGTTGCGTCTCACTTGTAGAACAGCTGAACAAAACTTTTAAAAGGCGGAGAAAAAAGTAACGTTTCCTTCGGCCGTGACCTCATGATGAGCTCATACGCACACTGTTGCTATGGTGAGCAAGAACACGGCGTAAATAAGGGCAGATGTTCACGATAGGCTCCGCTTGAAGATGAAAACGGGACGGCCGAAACATGGGACAAGAACATATATGAACGAGAGAGGAAAAAAAACAAAAAACTGTTTTGTGCTGTGAAAGCAGTAAGCACCATGGCATCCGACGACAATCCGCTTCATCTTTTCACGCCCTTCAGTGTAACCGTAGCTACGAAATGTTTCGAGGTGGCTTTACTGCATCTGGGGTCCATGGAGGGGGTCGCGCGGCATCACCGAAGGGGCCTGGCGAGGTCATCGATTTTTCCGGCGCAGCGGGAGAAGCTGCGGTTTGACTGGTTTCAAGTGTATCTCAAAGCATCCATGTAGGAAAGCAGAAAAGCATGAAATTGATCCAAAGTGCAAATACGACATGTTGACAGCGATTGAGTACGAGCACATGCGCGTCTTTTTCGATGTCTGTGGTCGGCTCGGGTTCTAATATGAGAATCTGAAGGATCCGGTGGCTAGAATTGATGTCTGCTGGATGACGTGTGAGTGATTGTCAAGTGGACAACCGGGGTTGCAAACGGGCACTCAAGGCAGAAAGCAGAGTGGTGCCGCATCTGTTTGCGACCCCCCACCCCCACCCCCCACTATCCCCCCCGAGGTTAGAGCGGTGCGTCAACACAAACAGCCGAGCACGGTTACTGCAAAGCGCAGTCAGAGAAGAAGCACGGAGGCCGGCTGACAAGATGCAGCGGAGCCTCCGTGGGACGGAAAAACAATTACTTTGAGGTCAAGGTGAACTTCCAAAAAAATGCTCTCGTCAAACTGAAGGTTAGATTCAACGCATTTCTACCAGTCCACCCACCAGATTAAAAATAAAAACGTTCGAATAAAATGTGGCTTTGATTAGCTCGGACTCGCATCCAAAAATCTCCATTCGTGTTTAAAAGAATATATATATATATATATATATATATATATATATAAGAGTAATGGAACAGTCATAGTCATAATCATACAGTCGTACCAAAAGAGACTCTTTGAAGCAGAAAAACAAAGAAAATCAATTTTGCTTAAATTATATATATATGAAATAATCATTTAGTTCTCAGCACTAAAATGTATGCACCCCTTGCCACAAGAGCTAATCTCTCCAATTTGACGTGACGGGTCTATTTGGGCCTAAATGCTACCTCACACGGGAAATAATCCCCCACAAACAGGATTAACAACATCAATGGCAATTCATTTTTTCTTTTTCTTTTTTTTGAAACGACCAAAAAGGTACGAGGAGGGGGAAACATGAGTAATCGGAACATAAACCCTCAGGAAGCCCTTTTATTCTGCCATCCTTCGACTCTGCAGCAGAATGGAGGCCTTCCTCTCCTTTTCCTGTGCAGGCGTCGGGCTGAGATTTAGAACATCTGCTCTCGGCTTCGCCGACGCTGACGTGGAAGCGTGCACAGAGAAGAGCGCTGGTCTCTTCCTTTTCTACGTCCGCCCCCCCTCTCACCCCAAAACACCAACTCGATAGTTTCCAGTTTCTCAGTCATTCTAGCCCACCCATTCCACTCCCCGCCCCCCCAAAAAAAAATGTTTTGCCCTCCAATTCAAATACTTTTAAGCAATCTACACCCACTTGGCAAAATTGTGCGTTCCATCTTGTCAGCAGTTGGTTGTATCATCCAAAATGTTACGCCCAGAAGAGACAATTGCTGAGTGAGATCCTTTCAGTGTCACGTCAAATGACATTTGCACGAAGACAAAACCAGCCCCAAAAGGGAGCTCGTCACCTCAATAACTGACTTTTTTTTTCTTCCGCGACTGATAACAAGCTCGTGAAACCAATTTGAGCGTGACAGGGTGAAAATACCTAACTCGCATCCATGGTTCTTGAAGCTCAACCGATTTCATAACGGCAAAACACGAGGTCGCGTGGTAAAAAAAAAAAAAAAAAAAAAAAAAAAAGAATCCTCATTGGTTGATGATCACGAAAAGCGGCTAACGAGTTAGCGAGTTATAACTTTACGTGTGTATTCGCGGTTTGGTCAAATCTCAAATGGGAAGCGGTTCCTGCATATCCGTGACGAAGCACGACATTGCTAAGTAACGTGAGTGTGACTAGTTGTTCAGCGACCCCCGGTGAAACCATCAGCTGGTGTTGCAAGGTTTTGAGGCTGCATTTCCAGACCGGCAGTGAGCTTGACAGTGAGCCAACAGCATGACGTCAACATAGCTCGGGAGCGATCTGGACAAAAGGGGAGTGAGTCGACGTCTCGTGATTATTTTCACAATGACGTGTTTGACTGAAAACCGAGATTCCGACTGCGGGGCAACATCACAGATGAGGACACAAAGTTTTCTTATCCGCACCACTCCCCCCCCCCCCCCCAACATGGGCTTGGGGAGTGAACTGATATCCCTCCAAATAACAGTCCAAAGTTCTTCGGTCATACTTTGGTCAATATCAGGAATTGAACAAACCAGCCTCACAGGAGGCCGAGACTGAGATGTTCCAGATAAGAAAACGTACTGCAAGAAAGCAGAATAGATTTATTTGACAAAAGGTCACAACCATCGTTGTGATTATATCAGGGAAAAGGATAAAGTCTTCTCTTCAAGCATTTGGGGGATGATTATACCTTTTTTTTTTTTCCAGAGCTCTGCATGTACACCAAGCTGTAAAAAATAAACAGCCCTTGGCTGGGATCCTCTTCTTTTGTCTTCCCTTTTGCTATTTTTATAAGACCGAGACTCGGAGAGAGGAGACACACACACACACACAAAGAATGTTTGTTTATCTTGCGTGCCGGCTCTTTCAGGTGTCACATTCCTGATAACGTCACATGCTGGAGCTCTCGGTGGAAGGGCCGGAAACCAAACGATGCCTTTCACGGTCACGTAAATTAGGTAGCATGTTCGATACTAGACGGCAACGGCATTACAGTGAGTGAGCGGTAAACGCCAGATTAGGTTTCTGGATTTGAATCAGTAACAATTTGGGGCTTTGTTGCACCGTCTAAAAAGCATACGGTGGGTTAACCGAAGGGGCTTTCAGGGGTGGCCGATTGCTCACGTCAAAATCGTACAAGCGAGAATCTGCAAAAGACTACATGAGGGTCTGCTCTGTTCACATGTCATGGACAGGGTACGAGGATTGTTTGACAGGTGAATGAGAGCAGATACTGCCGACATTGCTCTTCTCACCAAAAATCTTCCATCTGCGCCAGTTAAATTGACTTCTCAAGGCAACTGTGTGGTCGTCACGGGATTTTTGGACCCGTCAACGTCTTGGCATTTTGGCCTGTATGAGCAATTGGTCGATTGATTTTTTTTTTTTTTTTTAAGTAGAAGACAAAACAAAGGAGTCGATGAGCGCCATGTCAAATAATGACGTTATACCGTTTGACTCAAATTTGAAGGTGGTTATTGGCCATGATTTTCTTTCTGTAACATCACACAAAAACATTCCCCAACAAAGGCCATTTTTTTGCACCCGACATTCATTCATTCATTCATTTTCCGAACCGCTCGATCCTCACTAGGGTCGCGGACCCCCGACATGAAAAACTCAATTTATTTTGGAACCCATTGTCCCAATTTTTAAAATTCTTGGTGTGTTGGACTCAGGTCATAATGGCCATTAAAACCAGACTCAGAACTTTGACAGACTGTCATTTCGGGAATTGTTGTCACGTCGCTGTTGCCAATGGAAAGGCTTTAATGCTGAGTAACTTTCTTTACAAGAAGACACTCCATGGAAATGAGGTACAGATCGCGTATGTCCTGGTTTCATGGTAATCGGTGCAAGGTGTACCCCGCCCCTCCCTAAGTAAGCTAGGATGTCCTCCAGCCCCCACTCGCTGTGACACTATCCGGCATAATGGTATAGAAAATAATTGGATGGGTGCATTTTCAAGCGACCACACCCATAAACAATTCATTAAAATACTTGAAATGAAATTCTCGAGCCTCAAATGTTCCTGTGAACATCCCCCATTGGTACCCACGCACACCCCCAAACATGCAACATGGCAATTGGCAACATTGATCAAGGTAATGCACGTCTGCTGGAAATGGAGGGCGAGGGGGGGGGGATGACATCTTCCATCAAGATGTTGAGGTCAAGGGAAGATGAAGGGTAGATGTTTGTCTCCAGATTTATGACCTGAGATTCGCCATTAAAATGAGGCGGTGGGGACTGAGAAGGGTTTGGGGAGAAGCATCTTTATCGACTCTTCATATATGAGCGTGATGTTTCTATCTCCACATGTTTTGCAGAGATGTGCTATGTGTCTGCATGCCTAATGAAGACCAGTGCAGTATTTCCACTGCTCTACTTCCGAGCTGCCTGGTTGAGAGGTTGGGGAACGACACGGGGCATGCCAACATTCGCATACACGTATAATCCACGTCGGAATTTCCAATTTCGATCGAGATGGAATAAAAGGGTCGTTTTAAAAGTATTGTTTCATAATGTCACTATCCCAGCTCTTTTATTTTACAACCAACCATGACCTATTTTGATGCGGTGTTGTGTACTCACATTTCTCTGTCAATGTCAGCTTCTCCTCGAAATGATGTCCAAGATCTTTATAATCCATTGCGTCCATTCAGGCGGATTGCAGTGAATTTCCAGTTGCTGTCATTCCTCACCAGTCTCCCAAGTACAGGAGCTGCAACTCCCGGTCCAGATTCGGCCAAACACGCCCTTTCGAAAATCCAATAGAAGAAAAGCGACGCAAAAACAGGACAAGTAGCTCAATGCCAACTGAAAACGACGGTGAGCATTCGAGATTGTAAACTATGCGAGGTGACGCGATTGTTTTGCGCATATATGTCTAGCTGGCATTGAACGAGTGGAACGTGTCTTCTGTGGAAAATCCACAGTGGGAATAAATCGCCCGAGTCCTGCCCACAGCAAATTGGTCATTGCCATGAACAACAATGAACTTCCGGTTACGGTGTTCATTATAAAACTTATATACAGGCAGTGAGTGCATTTTTATAAAAAAAATTTTTTTATTTAAATCTCAACCTGAGAACAAATGCCTGCATTGAAAATTATGGTTATTATATTAAATTTAAAATGACTTATTGGAGTCTTTTTTCGGTGTACATTCAGTGGAGCGAATGGTGAATTTGCTACGGATTTTATTTTGAAGAAGATTTTGGGCTTTCGGTCATTACCTTGACGTCGTTGCTCGACGAGAAAACCGCTTGTCGAAAAAAATTGGACTTTACCATGTGCTGGAATGACAAGCAAAATTGTTATCCTGTACATTCAAATGTGTACGAAATGTATGTTGAAATATTACTGCAGCATTTCATTCACTGCGTGTTGTATTTAGTTCGTAGCTTGATGGAAGGGCCGTTTTCCTCTCTTAACTCGGGGAATGGTTTGACCCATCAGATGATTTCGAGCAGCTGAAAACAGGGGGACTTGTGAGGCCTGCGTTATTTCAACACAAGAGTCCAAGTTAACTGTTTGCAAAAGTAGAATTGTGTAACTCACCGACAACATTTCAATTCATACTCAAAAGTAAATGAAAGATGGAATACAACCAAAAATAAACCACAGAACATTAACCGCTGTGATTATATGGACTCTAATTGAATGCTCATGTAGATTACAAAGAGAAAATACGTCTTGGTAAAACAATTTGCAGCAAAACGACACTTTTCTCAATCCCAACCCAGTCTGAGGGAAAATCGTTGCTTTCAAACACAAATCTACAAGGAGATACAATTAAAAAAATAATAAATACAATGAAACATGTATGTTTAAATGGTCTTTTCCAATTGAATAGCAGCAAATAAAGTCCTGTGCGTGCCTGCTTTTATAAATAGACCCACCAGACTCACGACCACTATGGCTCTTTGGCCATCAGTGAGATCAATTATGGATGAGGTGATGCGCACATGCATCGCCTTTTCATCAAACTGAAGGATGTACACTGAAGGATTAATTACACGTGGTATGAATAATTGCATGATTCACGCTAAGAATAATAATATAAAAGCCTTCACTTTTAAGCCTTTCTTCACTTGAGTGCACGGAGGCTGAAAACACTAATCAGCCCACTGGTCGCATCAAAGCAGCTTCCCCTGGCAATCTTATCTGCTGGTTTCAATGACTGAGGTCGCCTGGAAGACAAATGCATGCTTTGATCGGGTTGGAAAATGCACGGGCACTGTATAAATATATGTATCGATATATATTCAGAGCCGGTCGCCCTGCCCTCTGCGCTGAGCTTGTCGTGCGATGCGGGGGATGGCTCAATGCAGGCTGTCTTGCCAAGTGCCATGCCGCGCCCTTCATCACAAAAGAGTCTCGAAGGGCTTCACAAGTCCGCAGCTGACGAATATTAACGACACACCCTGATCTTCACCCCACAGGAGGGCAAGGAAAAACTCATAAAACCCCCCATCTGGGGAAAAATAAGAAACCTTGAGAAGGGGTCGCAGATGGGGGGAATCCCCATCCAGGATGAACAGGCTAATGGACGCTGAGTGGGAAACATTTAACACAATATGGTGCTATACAATTATCGAATAGTGTGAGAGTCCATTTAGTAAGATGAAGTGTGGCCGTTTGTTTTTTAAATTCCTAAGTACCCTTTACGACAGACAGACGAGACCCCTTGAGTAAGTCTTGCAACAAGATTAGATGGATCGTGTCTAATCTCTTCCTGAAATGTATACCACAGTGTGTACAAAAACAGTGTTTCGACTGTAGACTTCTCTTTCAAGGGGGGGGGTTACATGTCCACACTTGTCTTCAGCAGACTGAAACGCAGGGCGGATCAGAGAGACTCCCATCATTCCATGGAGCCATGTATAATTGCACCTCGTCCACACAAAAGCAACACACACACAAAAAAAAAAAAAAAAAAGAGTTGAACTCAACTTTGCCTGCAGTTCTGCTCATCGACATCCTCCTTTGACTACAGGAAGGGTGCGTTTTGCACACTGGCCAAAAACCACCACTCACTGTAAAAAAATCCCCCAAAGCTCACACGAACGGAGGTTACACATATTTGGAGAACGCACGGTTGAGGTCACAATCTGAATATAACTACAGCTGCTGCAATGTGTGGGAGTCAAGCAGTTGTTCTGATGAGGGCGAAAAATCTCACGAGCAGATGACAGCGTGGTTTCAACGACATGGCATCTTTGCCGAGAGAAAATTGCGGGAGGTATCGATAACGGATTGCTGCCATTTATGCATTACCAGTCGACTTTAAGCTACACCCAATGGGAGCCATTCCGTGTCTAAACAAATTCGGGCAAATGTAACTTTGTCGTAACTTTGGTGTTAATTATAGTAGTGTTGAATTAGTGGCAGGTTACTTCAGCCTCATTTTTTTGATGAAAACTTAGGCCTGCTACACCACTTAATTTTACTGTTGGTCAGGTTAGTGAAACTTCGAGAGGTATTTTTTGGGGTGTAAAAAAGTTTTGAGAACCGAAGGCCTGTCACATAAACAGCCTCCTACCATCGCCTTATTTCGACCCGTCGACTAATAAAGGGAGCAACTGATGCGTCCCTTTCTCCCTGGGGGCGTAGCGCCATCCCGGCCTCATGTCCACGCTGTCACATTGCACACATAGAGAGTCGCACTCTGTGCCCGCCTGCCCTTGAGCAGTTGGCAATCTGGTGACATCACAAGCTCTCAGCTGTTCCAGTGGCGGACCGCTGACCGGACACGCAGCAGCTGGGATTGCAGCAACTCCCGCCCACATATCAGAAGGTGCACAGGAGAGCATCAGAATATTAGGGAGACGATCAAAAATAGATGGCTTCGAATGTCTTCTTATCACTCCCTGGTTGAGGGTTTATTTGGGGAAAGATTAAAAACAAGCTCTTATTTTGAATTCATTCAATGATACTTGCTGAGCCAGTTGTGTGAGTTTTGTGCAATTTAAGAGGCAAAATGCTCCTAATATTATCGACAATTGACCTCAGGCTCCATCCGTTTAACAAGTGTATTTAAACAGGTAATTACATTATGTTTCCTTCTTTCCAAAACAAATGATTGCAGAATGCAAACAATGTGAGCACAGTCAAATGTTCAGTCTAAGTGTTTTTTTACTACCTGTTATTATTATTGGTGATTTGCTAGAAACGCATGCTTCCCTTTTGTATCTTCTTTAACATTCTAGTTTGCTGATCTCTTACATGATGGTCTTTCAGCTGCTCAACTGAAACAAAATGATGGCGATTTTAGCTGATATGTATTTATTTATCTCAAAAGCATCATAGCCTTGCATACAAACAAATGACACAGGAATACACCCTTGCCCTTAAAAAGGTGAGTGAGATGGTCGAACTAAATACAATGCTAAAATTTTATGCTGTGTGTTATTATGGATGAAAAGGCTGTCATTCAAAATTAATGTGCACCCTATTTTCCGTGTAACTTAAGTCAGCAGTTTGTATATCTTAAGGCTCCAGGGAGGAACTGTTGCGCAATACCATCCCATCTTATACCATTATAGGCACTGTCGTTAAAATTGCATTACCTGTGTATGTTTAACAGAAATAGCTTGTGAGTCTTGCAGCATCCTCCTGGTTTGAGATGCAAATGCAGCAGCATTGTGTGACATGCCAATGGGGCCTCGTAACCCTGAGGTTACAGTGGCCAAGGCCTGGCAATGGTACTGCTGAATGTCGCCACCTTGAGGCACAAAGAAACAACGTATATATCATAAGAGTAATGACAAAAATAAACAGGGAACACACAATTATGCTGGGTTTAGTCAACGCAATGTGATTTCCTTTGCAAAGGCCTCATTTGGACTGTGTACTCTGGAAACTGGTGGTTCAGCAGCGGTGAGATTTTCTGCATGAAAGTTTTGGTGCAGCCTATGATGAGGGTGTCCTTTAGACATTTTACCGAGTTTGAATTCTCTGTAAACTACTTCCCCAGATCAGATTCGAGACCTTTTGCTTTCTGGTTCTTTTTGCACACGCGTCATCGTATTCAACTTTAATTAGACTGCACAGTGTGATTGCTAAATTTTACTGTATCATCAAGAATTTCCACAAAAATTGTTGAAAGTATGACGCATGGCCGTGGGCTGTAACCACTGCGCTCCGCTCCAGCTTGTTGCTGTGGTGATTTGGTGGCGAATGAGTCATTCGCGACTTGTTTCTGCGGTCCTTTAGCTCCACCTATTGGCTGCAGCGACCCATTTAGGAGTCGCTGCAAGCTATCCCGCCACCTTTTTGTTTCTCCATGATCCACACTGCTCGATCCATCATGGCGATGCACGCTAAAGCTACTCCACCACAGATCCCGGACACCCGCCGGGAGCTTGCCGAACTGGTGAAGAGGAAACAAGAGCTTGCGGTATGTTGATGTTGTGAAGAACAAAACGGGTTTAAAGGTCTTAATGCGTGGAAGCCCGCCTAACGCAAAACTAAAATGTTAAATATAACATTTCAACCAGGGTGTTTATTGATAGCTTAGGCCTTGCTAAATGCTAGGCTAATAACGGCTATCTGTGTCGCGCCGCTTCCTTTGCTAAAATCTGGGCACGTATTGATCGTTTAATTATGTGTTTGACATATTATTTTCCACCTTATGTCATTAAACTTACTGATATTGCAAGACGCTTGATTACGTTCTATGTTTGTGCACCAGCTTAATTTTTCTGTGGAGGCTAACATGCTAGCAGCGTCAACGGGGTCCGCGGTAGTGTCAAGTTCTCGCGCGATTAAAATTCATGACGTCATCAAACATGGACACACTTCAAACAACCCGATTTCAAACAAGCGTTTTGATTTAAATTTAACACAATGGAATGTATAAATACGTGTATGTACGCGCAGAAGAACATTTTATTGTACCAGTAAACGGTATTCGTGTTCCACAATGATAAAAATACAAATATACTTTATTCATTCCGTGAGGGGAAATTTGGGAAATTCATACAAAATACAATCATATTAATAAATGAAACTGCCATGAAGTGAAAATAAGTCCAAACAAAATCATAAAAACAACGGGATAAAGCAATTCCACTTTCACTGCTCCAGCACACAGCACGCTGCTGCTCAACAATGTAAAATAAATCTGAGTTAATTTTCAATCGTGTTGTAGGAGACGCTTGTGAATTTGGAACGGCAAATATACGCCTTTGAAGGCAGTTACCTAGAAGACACCCAAATGTATGGCAACATCATCAGAGGATGGGACAGATACCTAACCAACCAAAAGTAAGTTGTAAATGAGGGTGCAAAAGATATAACTGTGTGTTCTCTGTAGCTAATAAAACATTACTAATCCATATCATGTTTCTTACAGGAACTCGAATAGTAAAACCGATCGAAGAAATCGAAAATTCAAGGAAGCAGAGCGTCTGTTCAGCAAGTCATCAGTCACCTCAGTTGCAGTAAGTCTGTCGCTTTGTGTTTCCCATGACATAAAAGAACTTTGGTTTGAATATTTATATTTATTAATTTATTTATTTTTTTAAATCAACAGGCGGTATGTGCGCTAGGCGGGATACCAGATCACATGAACGAAAAACGTGAGTGATGTGCACCCGAAAGCCGTGTTGCCATAATGTACGCATGCTGAGATCCGTGTTCTCTGGCCAGGTGAGGCGGGCAGCGGCACGGAAAGCGACGCCTCACCGGACCTCCAGAACCAAGAGAACGAACCCAGCCAGGAGGACACGGAAGACGTAGACTCCACCTTGCAGGACTTGAAGCCCCAAAAAGCTGCGTCTTCCTCTTCATCTGGCAGCCACCACGGAAGCCATAAGAAGAGGAAGAACAAAAACAGGCACAGGTAGACAGAAATGACCTGAAATTGGACACTAGTTTAGTATGCCTTGTCAATTTGTTGGGAGACAATAGCAGAGAGCATAACATGGAAGAAACCATGCTCCAGGTGGCATGACCAAATAAACAAAGCAGGATTTCTCTTGTTCTTGTTAGTTTGAGCTACTGCACTAAAAATGTTCTTCTTGCTGCGTTCAAAACTGCAGAGAATTTCAAAATATCCATCTTGGTGTTGGTTCATTTTAGTTTTGGCAGTTGCTATGACAGAGAAGTATTTTTTTGAAATAAAGCTGAAATAAATCACGAGTTGCGTCGCACAAAGCAGATTTCTGGTGTTGCTCTTTTCGAGTGAAATCAGGACCCACCTTCCGGATCAATTGGTGGAGGTAATGCACCATTAAGTTGTTTGCTAACTGCCAGGAAAAACGACCAATAGAACAACTCGAAGACGATTTCTGGTGTAATACCAAGGGTGGCCTGTGAGAGGCAGCACTGTCAGACATCCAGATTGCTGGGGGGAAAAAATGTGGCTGTCTCCACCTTCACCTTATTTTTCATGCTTTCGGGTATTCCTTCTCTCACTATATATTAACCCAGCGGGCTCTCCTGCTAACACACTGAGGCGACGCGTGTCAATCTGTGGACAATTGTGTCGATAGCGGGGTTCAGACTGTGGGTGGTGAACTAAACTAACAGCTGCTGATGTTTTCCTCCCCTGTTGTCATGCTGACTCCTCCCCTTTCCGCCCCAGCCCTTCTGCCATGTTTGATTATGACTTTGAGTAAGTCCTGAATTTTACTTCCTGCTCCTGTGGTCTGCGCATCCTGTCTGCTCGTCACCACATCCTGAACTCGTCTCCTGTGTGTCGAGTCGAAGCCTGCTAGTTTTTGAGTCCGTGCCGCATGTCTTTGAATGCCTGTCAGCATCCATCAACCCCCTCATGGCTTGTCACTGGGCTGGCGTCTCATCTTTTCTGCTCGTGCGTTTGTCAAAAGCTGTGCTGTTGTTCTAAGATGACAGGCTGGCTTCAAGTTTGTCTGCAAAACAAAGAACAAAGTTTAGCCTTTTCTTTTTTTTAATGGGCTGAGGTTTGGTTTTTAGGCTCCCTCATGGTACAGTAGTGGCACCGCTTGTTGTCGTTGCTCTCAGAACCGAACCTCATATCTAAAGCTGACCTCTCTTTGTCAATGCAGGTTCGACATGAAAGTGAACAAGAAACCGAGAGCCGTAAGTTTGATTTATCGCCCCCACCCAAATCCAGCGATTTCTGCCTTTTTGAAGTTGATCGATTCAATTTTCCCCCCTTATGCAGGAATATTCTAACTGAGAAAGACAAAATGTGGACCAAGAAGAGAAATTATTGACTTTGTGGACATGTATGCCCCGCCTCCACTCCAGTTGTTATATTTCAGCTGTGATGACTGCACTGCGCTCTAAACATTCCCCAGCTTCCATGCGTCCTGCATGTTTCTCCACACCAGCCAGTAACATTTTGTATAGTGCAGTGGTTCTTAATCTGGGTTCAATCGAACCCTACCGGTTCAGTGAATCAGTCTCAGGGGTTCGACAGAGCCTCCGCCATGCAGGTGAAGACACACCCGACTCAACGTGTCAGTTAGTTATGACATGCCCGCTTGGCCATTACTGGCTGGTTCATTTTGTGCGCAATTAAAAAAATTATACTAATTTTGTTTACATTTTTTCTGTTTTTAATATGTTTTTTTTTATGTCTTGAATTTGTTTAAAAAAAAAAAAATCATTTTTATTTTTCACTAATGAAGGGTTCGGTGAATGTGCATATGAACTGGTTGGGTTCGGTACCTCTAACAAGGTTAAGAACCACTGGTATAGTGTTTAAAACAAAAGACTATTTATTTTGTTGGGAATTAACATTATTTTCTTCTTTTTTGTGGCCACTTGGTTGTGAATCCCATATGAATATCTGTATTCTTTTTGTCATTGTATTTTTCAAGAAAATAAAACACCAGTGATGTTTTTTTTTTTTTAATTCAAATGTGTCAGGTTTGAGTGAAGATAGGGTCGAACTGAAAAGTGACACCGTCCAGAGGTTTAATAAGACACGTTGGCTTTGCTTTTTTTTTTTTTTTTTTTTTTTGACAAAGGCTAAAATTTGATTTCGACGTACATTTCAGATTCCGATTGTTTAGTAACTGACGTTTTGCTTTGGAAAAATACAACTGTAATCTTGGTACATAATCTTTTTTTTTTCTCGTGAATTGTACTTTTGTTCGTTGCAGTTCGGCCCTGTATATTTCTTTTACACATAATTGACGGTGCTAGTCTATATTTTAGTGTGCAGGGTACACAAAATGACCAATACCACCGCGCATAAATAGCCCGTGACTCCACCGACAAGCCTGAGTCATCTCTCCCAAACTGGATGTCTGGTGAAGTACCAAGACTGGCCTGTGAGAGGCAGCATAGAGCCACGGGGCATCGAAAAGAGAAGCAACAGTCGTCGTCAAAACAGCTTGTACAAGGACTGCTAACTCAACGACTGTGACAAAAAACGCGAGGCAACAGCCCGCGACTGGCCAAATTGCTGTTGTTGAGTTTTAACGCTTGCTGATGAGAATAGTTTTAAGTTAACATTGGCCAATTCTGAAACCTTACGGGCAGATTACGTCGAACGTAGCAACGAAGAGGCTAAAATCTCATTGGACAAAAAATTAATACGTAAAATAAATAAAAGTAGATTGAGGCTTGACACTGGCGTGTGGTTTTATTTAGCATAGCATTAACGTTCCAAATACACCCCTAATCTTTCACGCGCCAAAAGTAGCCCATCCGCATGACAAAGAAGCTGGAAACTGTAACAGAGAACTTAATGCTCTGCTGGCAGAAGCGGTGATGGATAAACTGTCAAGTCTCCAAAATACATTCCCTGGTTTCATGCAGCTCGACTGACTGCCTTTCCCATCCTAGAGTCACGTTTCATTTGGCTTACCCCTTTCTTCAGTACTTTTCCGACACGGGAGCAACGAGGCCTTCAAACTGTTCATTTTAGGGTCAGAAACGTTAGACTGACGGTTCAGTTACCGAGGCCATTAGCTGGCGTTGGGCGCGGAGGTGGTCTGAAAAGCTGGTGTCGTGCGGGATCATTCCAAAATGTACTGGAGACACCGCTTTTCCACTATAATTATGGTTTGTCTGGAGAGATTCTGTCACGGTTATACATAGCTTGTAAAGGCTAAAATTTGATTTCGACGTACATTTCAGATTCCGATTGTTTAGTAACTGACGTTTTGCTTTGGAAAAATACAACTGTAATCTTGGTACATAATCTTTTTTTTTTCTCGTGAATTGTACTTTTGTTCGTTGCAGTTCGGCCCTGTATATTTCTTTTACACATAATTGACGGTGCTAGTCTATATTTTAGTGTGCAGGGTACACAAAATGACCAATACCACCGCGCATAAATAGCCCGTGACTCCACCGACAAGCCTGAGTCATCTCTCCCAAACTGGATGTCTGGTGAAGTACCAAGACTGGCCTGTGAGAGGCAGCATAGAGCCACGGGGCATCGAAAAGAGAAGCAACAGTCGTCGTCAAAACAGCTTGTACAAGGACTGCTAACTCAACGACTGTGACAAAAAACGCGAGGCAACAGCCCGCGACTGGCCAGATTGCTGTTGTTGAGTTTTAACGCTTGCTGATGAGAATAGTTTTAAGTTAACATTGGCCAATTCTGAAACCTTACGGGCAGATTACGTCGAACGTAGCAACGAAGAGGCTAAAATCTCATTGGACAAAAAATTAATACGTAAAATAAATAAAAGTAGATTGAGGCTTGACACTGGCGTGTGGTTTTATTTAGCATAGCATTAACGTTCCAAATACACCCCTAATCTTTCACGCGCCAAAAGTAGCCCATCCGCATGACAAAGAAGCTGGAAACTGTAACAGAGAACTTAATGCTCTGCTGGCAGAAGCGGTGATGGATAAACTGTCAAGTCTCCAAAATACATTCCCTGGTTTCATGCAGCTCGACTGACTGCCTTTCCCATCCTAGAGTCACGTTTCATTTGGCTTACCCCTTTCTTCAGTACTTTTCCGACACGGGAGCAACGAGGCCTTCAAACTGTTCATTTTAGGGTCAGAAACGTTAGACTGACGGTTCAGTTACCGAGGCCATTAGCTGGCGTTGGGCGCGGAGGTGGTCTGAAAAGCTGGTGTCGTGCGGGATCATTCCAAAATGTACTGGAGACACCGCTTTTCCACTATAATTATGGTTTGTCTGGAGAGATTCTGTCACGGTTATACATAGCTTGTTGTGCAACATACGGTTATAGTTGAGGTCAAAAAGAAGGGCAATGGGGGTGCAGGAGGGGTGGGGGGTGGCAGTTGTTTATGCTTTGATGGTTTGAGCCCTGCAGGGCGCCAGGTTGGGATCAACATAAACAGATCATTTGAAGCTAAGACCGATAATGATACAGTTTCGCGCTTGCATAAACCAGATTATGAAAGCAGTCACCTGAAGACTGAGCATTTGACTGTGAAAATTTAGCCTAGCAACACCTCGATACATTGTGTCTGTTTTCAGTTAGATACACGAGTCGCTGCTAAATCTTTATTCGGAAGGAAGGTAATAAAAGTTATGAATAGCTTCAATAAATCTCTGATAATAAAGCAGCAGCCTCACCAGGGTCCAATAAAGTTTCATAAACCTTTTGGCGTTCAA